TAGCTTCTACCTACCTACCTATGTTTCATTTTGATATCTCTTATAGTTTTAGAGCTATGTTCCGGACAAAGTTCAACGTGTTAAAATTAACAAAGGGCAATAACTCCAAAATTAGGACAAAAAGAGTTATTGTTCTTATGCACTGCACATCTACCAATTGAGATCTATTCACCTACAAAGTTTCATGTTGATATCTCTTATAGTATAGTTTTAGAGTTATGTCCCGGACAAGATTTTTCTATCAGGGGAGATAATTCAAAAACGAGGCAAAATAGAGTTATGGTTCTTTGACACTGCACTCCCCTCAATACCCTCTACCACTGTATGAAGTTTAAACAAATTATCTCCAAGGGTTTTCAAGTTATGCTCCGGACAAGACAACGGATGGACAGAAGGCCAGACGGACAAGGCACCGACTATAGTTATGCTCCCCCGAAAATTTTCGGGGAGCATAAAAATACAAGAAAGTCTTTTTTCAATTATCAACATAAATTTTTAGTATCATCAGACTTTCTGATATAGAATTCTAATTTGTATGTAGTCAGTTAGTGCTCCATTAAATGAACACATTCCGATATCAAGGTTATGTAAAATGTTTAGCTACTAGTCATACATCTCTGAATTATTTGTTATGAATTCTCCATAAAAACGACTCTGTCAAAAAACAATACCTGAAACTTAAAACAAAGTGTTGCACAATTTGGTGATGCCTAAAGTCTTATGTAGGTTTAGAACTGAAATCAAAAATAAATGTAAGAGAGCCTTCTTGCAAGAAGTAGGTCAACATTTGCTCAAAAGTCACATTGATGTAAAATCAACAAGGTAAGATTGATATTAAACAAGAATATCATGTGCGGTGTAAAGGCTGGCCTGTTATTAAGGGCAACACATTTTAACAGAAATTTCACTTTAAAAAGGGACATAAGTTCAAAATAATAGATTTCAGAATTATGCCCCTTGTCCAACAACTGCACATTTTCATGATAAACAAGACTAGCGTGTCTTCCAAGTTTAACTCTGATCACTTTTGTAAGTTCAATGGGCAAAATCAAAATCATTGCATGACAGTGAGGACGTAGCAATCATAATAGCTTGATTTTTTTCTTAAAATCAGACTGCTAATAAAATTATGTCTATATACTTTGTATTATAAGTCGTAAATCTCTGAAGTGGCATCAAAATGAAAGATTCTTGTAATAAAGGTTCATATAAAAACAATAATTTAATCTGTATAGTGATAGCCTAGTTAAAACATAGTTTACAAGATTGTATGTATCAACCATCACCTGGCACTGGAAGATTCTTGTAATAAAGGTTCATATAAAAAGCATTGGAAGATTCTTGTAGTAAAGGTTCATATAAAAACAATAATTTAATCTGTATAGTGATAGCCTAGTTAAAACATAGTTTACAAGATTGTTTGTATCAACCATCACCTGGCATTTAAACAAAAAGTCAAAGTCTAAAAGGGAGGTAACCAATAATGACATGTAACACATCAGCCATTTAATATATCAGCCAAACAGATAGTAAGAATGACATATTGTCTTGTGTAAGAACTAAGCAACAACAATCTTCACAAATAATATCTTGCAACATGATAATATTGATGGTAAAAAAATTCATCACATCCCTTAAAGCTGCATGCCTTCAGATAAGACAAAATATTTCAAGAAATCAAACTTGAGAAAAATGTACTAAGATTTTAAGAAAAGTAAGAAGATTCAAGGTTAAAGTAATAATTTACATGTTGTGTATTTCATTGCTGATTTTGCAGTTTTTATCACCATATTTCTACTGAATGACTAACAAAGTAAGGGCTACTTTGCATATTAATATGTTACCTTTTTTTTGTTTTATAACATGGATTGTAAGTGCTGTTTGAAATGTGGTTCACTACACAATATTTTTTTTTTTTAAAAACACTAATAAAATTTTCAGAACTGCTTAAAACTTTAACATTTTTCACTACTTAACAAATCTCATAGAGGTCTAAGCGTTCATAAAATCAGCTGATACCTCAACTCTAATAAATCTTTAAAACTGTAAAAAAAACAATTTTGGTCAAATTAATACAAGTTATTGAAACATGTTATTAATCAAAGCTAAATATAACCTTTCATAATTTACTATATTAGTACTTCAACCAGTATATAAAGATAAGATTACATAATATAGATTTTTTTTTCAACAAAACATTTCTATGTATAAGCTAAAACTTCTGTAAATGGACAAGAATAACAAAAACAACTACAGTCAGGACTCATTACAACGACACTCTTGGTTCCCAAAGGATATGTCAGTATATCGAATTTGTCAGTATAATGAATTTCATCATTCATCATGAAATGATATGCTTACTCACTGGTATCTGAACATTATGTATTTAGATCTATAATTTTCATCTTATGAAAAAGATTTTGTGTTTATTTGTTCACTTCATTACACACATTACATATCATACACATAATATAACTACATCATTAAAATAATAACAACTTAAATAGTTAAAGATTTTTATGAAAATGATAAAACTAAAATAATAAAAGCATATACAAATGAATGATAGGACTTTTAAAAGTTAAACCGTTAAAAATTGGTTGCACACTGTTTGTTGTCATAAGTTGGCAGGTGTAACAAAATTCAGCTGACAACAACACGTTGGTATTGAAATAAGGTGTAACAATCAACTGACCAAGCTACAATACCTGTTTTAACACCTTGCGGCTTTACTTTTATACGTGCGCTTGACTGACCAAGTGTCAGTTTAACGGGTACTGATTGTATAGAAAATAACATGTTTGGTTTCCAATTTTATTGTGTTGGAGTCGGAATACGAATTTTCCGTTATAAAGGATTATAATAACGTTGAAAAAATTTGGTTCCCACCAATTCACTGTCGTTACTTGAATTTGTCAGTATAATGGATTCCGATGTATTGAGTCCTGACTGTATTCCAGTAAGACATGGGATTTGACCTTCAAATGTAACAAAACTAAACCTGAGAATGGTTAAAAGGCGTAACTCTGACAGAATTTTAAGAGTATCTGCCATTTAATGGTTGCCTCTTTTTTTAATAGTAAACATGTATTGCAAGTGAAGACGATTAGATTTTGAGACATGGACCTTTATAATTTGACTCTGAATACCATGAGATTAGTTCTATTTCTTTGCTACAAAGCTTGGAGCTGAAAATGCAGATACAAAAATGTTTTGCTGATGTGATGTTTAATTGGATAACAACCTTGGCCCCATAATAGTTTACATATATATGTATCTACTTTCTAAATAATCTGTAACAGCTTGCCAGTTATTCTATATATATTTTATCACATATTGTTTAAACACAGTCAACAAAACACATATTCATGCTACTAATCTACATAGACAAGATTTGGTGTTAAAATGCTTTATGGTGATTGGATGATCAATGCTCAATTCTGGTTCCGTGTCTGTCATGCTTTTGCTTTCACTGCATACATGAAAGAAAAGAAAAGAAAGCAAAATGAAGCTAAAGCGTGCAAATAAAACCAAACAATACAAAAAAAGGAGACAGGACATATAAAACGACACCTGCAAGCAAGAGCACCATAAGGACACAATGCATTAAAACAACTAGTTAAGTTACAGTTAACACTGAAACAATATATATGATATGCTAGTGCAAATATATGAGCCGCGCCATGACAAAACCAACATAGGGCATTTGCGACCAGCATGGATCCAGACCAGCTTGCACATCAGCGCAGTCTGATCCGGATCGATGCTGTTCTCTATCAGTTTCTCTACTTGTTATAGAGTTTGTAAGTGAACAGCATGGCTACTGATCAGACTGCGCGGATGCGCAGGCTGGTCTGGATCCATGCTGGTCGCAAACGCATTATGTTGGTTTTGTTATGACACAGCTCATATATATAAATATTTAGAAATAATGTGCAAGATATACATTTAAAAATAAAACAAGAAAGTGCAAAATTAACATGTGATTGTAATAAGGTAATGCACCAAAATCCAAGTGTTAGGTTTAGCATGACAATATTAAACTACATTATTATCGTCATAGTTAGTATGAACCATTTTCTCTAAGCTATCCTAGTATGAATTCAAATAAGTATAAATTCAAGTAAGAACAAGCAATTACAAGAATCCAAGTGTTAGGCATAGCATGACAGTGTTAAACTACGGTATTATCATCATAGTTAGTATGAACCATTTTCTATCAGCAATCCTAGTATGAATCAAGTACAAGTAATTATTTAACTTGTTAAATAATGGCTCTAATATGAAAGACATACTGTATGTGACCCATAAAGACCCAGGCCGGAAACCATTACTTTAAAGTGTGACAGAGACTTATGTGGATGATTGCACTTATCACTTTTATTTAACATATTATTTATTTATTTGTATTAACTATTATTATTGTATTTTGACATTAAAATCATTCAAACTGAAAATTAAAAAAAATAACTAAAAGCTGAGCAGTTTCTCTACAGATTGACAATGCAAGGTAAAGGTTAAAAGGTCAATCTATTTAAATGAAAGGTTAAATATAAGTATGCTGTGTTGTTGACAGAAGATAGCCACAGAGGAAACTCAATATATTGCATTTGGAAAAATATTTAGTGAAAGGATAAAAATAAAATTCATGTAAGACATAATATAAAATGTGTAAAAAGCACTTTAAAATTAATTAAATTTTGCCAACATAATTACATGCAGTTAAAAAATATGACTTCTTATAACAACTAACTGACCAAGTGTATAATTCAAGTATTGGTTAAAAGAAGACTTCAATGATGACAAATCAAAATATACACAGTAATAAAATTAATATTTGACTTTGACAGGATATCTTAATATTTCATTGTTAAATAGCTTCTCCCAAGGTGTCTGCCTCTCAACCCAGAGATCATGGGTTCGAGCCCTACTCGGGTCACGACCATGTTTCTCCATATGACACCAGTACTGGTTGGAGCTTAAATAAATATGTTTAAACCAAATAGCTTCTCCTAGTAAGTAATATGTATAAACACATGTAGGAAATGCATTAAGTTAAGAGGGTTATGGAGTGAAGCCATCAGTATTAACTGGAAATTTTTTTAAAAAACTGTCGTCGGGTTACCAGTTATTTATTCTTTAGGCAAATTAGCTACAAAATATGACTTTAGGGCAAAAGCATTTTTTTTTACTTGGGGACCATATGCTGCTTTTCATGGAATGGCACTGATGTGTCACATTGAAGGTTCCATGATAACCACCATATGAACACATCTGCGGATGTTTCAAAATTCAAAATTGTACCAATTCATGTTAAATGTTGAATTCTGCTTAAACTTATGCTAGGGGGCATGGACGGTAGTTTGCACTTGACAGTACCGTCCATGAACAGACTCGATCAAACCTAGTCTGCAACATTTTCAATTTGTTGTGTTGGGCTTTCTTTAGGGATTCTTATTTTCTCTATTTTATGTACATAATGATACATTTTAAAAATGTGTTCACACCTACAATAAATTAAAGTGCACACCATTTTTTTTTTCATTCCGTTTTTAACAACTAAATTCTACTCTATCCAATGGCAGACCATCACCTTAGTGCAGTAATGTGTTAAGTCCTAGTTTTTATTGGAGTTAACCACTTATTGCACTTAGGTGACGAGACTTATACCAACAGTACTAAACAGGACAGGTTCTGCAAATATAACATAATATGCCTTTTGGGTATGACTGTATACTGTTGGCAGACCAAACTTAAATTTGATATTTCAAATATTGCCAAAATAAAAAAAAGGTTTACTGGTGTTTTTGCGTTGTTATCCACTAAATTATATACATATATTCAGTAAAAACCAGCAATGATAATGACTGCGCTTTTTTCATTCATATATAATCAGTGTTGTTGTTTTTTTTCACTTAATTGGGAAGAGGCCTAGGATTCTTGACTTTGCGAAGAATTATTGCTAAAACTGCAAAATTGGGGTGTGAAAAAGCTGGTGTAAAGTCAATTATTTGGGGCTGGTCTGGATCCATGCTGGTCGCAAACACATTATGTTGGTTTTGTCGTGACGCAGCTCATATGGTAATCACATTTTTTAAACACAGTAGAATAAAGGTGATGGACAGGATAGAACAGGAATGAAACAATAATATGTAACTTGCAGCTTAACACAGAGCTCTCTAAGTATTATTCTAAGAACAATATTATACACCATTTTCTATAAAAATGAAAAGACAGGTAAAGAAACAGCATGAGATCATAGGAAAACAGCATTTTTGTCACATTTCATATGGCAACAGATAGTAACTATACACATTTTGCTTTCTAAAATGGATTTTGCAACTAGAAAATGTGCCTTTTAAACAACGGGCACTGTATATACAACAGACAGATGGACAGACAGATGGACAGACATACACCTCATACAATGACCAGCATGCAGATAAAAGTACAGACAAAGAAGTTTTGTTGCTTAGAAAACAAAAATATCTACAATAAAAGGGGAAAAGCAAAATAACCCTTACAAACAATAAAGTTCCCAGGCTTTCAAGCTTTAATCTGGACTAAAGAACTATTCTGATTATAATATTATAGCACTTGGTCATCAAACACATATTACACAGCATCACGTTTAGCTTTTAAAATTTAAAGAAAGATTTATCAGGGTAACAGATCACATTTTTAAACTTTCACTAGTATTTCAGAATTAACAAAGTCCAAATAAGCAATGTCTTTTATATGAAAAGGAGGAAAAATCAATGCCTTATTTCAACTTTCACAGAATAATCACCCCGACCGAAGCGAGAAGAGGACTCTTCTCCCACCTATCCTTCACATTGCTCCATTTAAGGACCGCTTAAGTCGGTAATACTTTTTAATAATTTCCCTACATGTACAATGTACATGTATGTGTAACTAAATTTGTACATCGACAATTGAATCAAAACATTGACAGTGACATATTCTGTATTACATAACATTAATCTAGGTAGAGCAAAGACTCTTCATGCACTAATGTTTCTAATACAAGACTTGTCCCTGTCAAAGAAATGATTCAGATGTCTGATTGTCAATGTATATTCTAACAGTGACAATAACAATATGTGTAGTAGAGAGATCCTGTGGACAACTAGATGCATTTTTGACCAGTTATACAGTATTATGTAGGACAGTCTGGTATATAAGGAAAATAAAGACTTCAATACTAACAAGGACAATTGCTTACAATTACAAATGCTTAAAAGTTGATAAAAATTGCTCTTATATTTGATCAGATGCATTTGAATGATGATTAGTCAGTCTTTGAGACAATGACTTAAACACATAGCCTGCTGTTATAACTGCATGTAAAGTGACCAGTGCCTACCAAGACCAGGAGTCACACCTGTGCCTTCTGCCTGCGGTCTGCACTGTTTGCTAAGTCAATACTTATTTTGAAATAAATGACAAATGGTTTTGATAGATGTGTTCATTTCTGATATATGGCATGGTAAGGGTTAAGATTAAAGCTAATACTGGTTTTGACTGTATCTACTCTGGTTAGTTTCAGTAAATGCTGGGTTAAATATTTGTTGAGAAGCTATTCTACTTTGATCGCTGCTGCTGCTGTTAGTTTTGGGGTAATGATGGGCAATATGAGAGAGGGCATCACTCTGTTGAGATGACTGTGAGACACGTTCTTGCTGGCAGCCATAGGGTACGTTACTCTGAATGGAAGCATGAGTTGCTTGCCCTTGCGGCATTCCATATAAAGGTAAATGATCTGAAGAGGCCATTGAATCGGTAGAAATTGCATGCATTTGAGATACACTCGTAGTGGCAGGAGAATTTGGTAGGTTTATTTGATCATAATTTAGCTTAAGTCTGCCACTAAGAAGAGCTTCTCTATGAGATATAGCTGCCTGCATTTGCATTCTACGTTCAGCAATTATAGCCTCACTTTTACTTAATTCACTCATTAGTTTCAACTCATCAATTTGCCCATCATTACGATCGTTAGAGGATGAAACATGCAAAAGCTGGCTATGGTCATGTAGATTGCGGTTAGAATGACTTGGTTCAGATAGGGAATCAACATGTGAAAACAGGTTTTGGGAATGCTGGGACTGCAGTAAGTCCCTGTGGCCTTGACCTTGTGAGACTGAATCAGAATATGTGGTGATAAAATTGTCTTGACCTTGACTCTGTTGGTAACGTAATGACAATGGTGATGACTGATTATGGTTTGTTGTAAATGGAAGCGGTAAGGTGGTTCTCGGTGCTTGTCTATTTTTGTCCTGTTCTCCATTTCCAGGCGGGGTACCGGTTCTTACAGTGAGATTCGATTTTGTTTCAAACCTTGATTTGACCTTGACCTGAGTAGGGAGGCCATCATCTGAATCACAATCCATCATGTATGTATTTGGATCTTTGTCAAATGACTGAAGACCCCTGTTTTCTCCTTTCTTCTTTCTCTTCCTTGGTACTTGTGTAACTGTAGACTGAATTGGACTGGTGATATCTAGATTCAAATTTGAATGAAGCTAAAAAGAAAAAATAAACAAAAATAAATAAACCATACCCAAGACAAGTAAAAGATTATTTAACATTACAATGTATATCATATAAAGTAAAAGTCACAGTGTGAGAAAAATATTCAACTTGCCAGCCCTCTATTGACTCAGCTACCAGGCCACTTAATTTTTTTTTTCAAAAAAGTGAATAATTCTATACAGTGACATACATATATATGTCTGCTTTATTCAAATTTATCCACAATTTTTTAATTGGATCAACAAACAATTCACTGCGTTTTATACTATCACAGTCCATTGTCAGGTGTCTAAAGTCACAGGGTGATGTTAAATGTGACATGGCCCGTGACCTTCAGCATACTGACATACGCTATGAGTATATACGGGTTACATATGATAAAACTAAAAATAAAGGAAACATACATTCTCACGTTATTAAATTTGCATGAAAAATCAAAGCCTGTAGTGAGATTCAAATCCTAGCCCGAGATAATCAATGACCTTGGCATATACATCGGGGTGTTCACTAGCCACAAAATCCTGAGGGTCATTTTGACTAAGTTTTACCAACTACAAGGCCAAATCCCCATGATTTTAACTAAATTTGACCCTCCAGCTAAAATCCTGAGGGTCAAATCAGGCCTTTTGGAAATTTGAAGGGTAAAAGAGTCATTTCAAGGGTCAAACGGACACCCTGTAATAACATGTACAAACCAAATATCTGTTGGCAATTGTATGATAACTACTAAATAACATTTTCTACACTTTACATATAAAGGATATCTATGAAAAAATCTATCAGCTGTCACCTGTTTACATTAGCAAATCATAAGAGTTTAATTTAAATATACGCAACATATGGTACATAAGATAAAATATATCAATCATGTAGATTCACTGTTTAAACATTTCCAATATTAATTCGTCGATCCTATACTTTTGAAGTATTTCAAATAAGCTATAATAACTTGATGAAAATGTGAAAAGTATGTCATTTCCAGTGCTAACTGAAGTTATCTTACTTCCAACTGCTTTGATTATGCAACTTTCCAAATTCCTGAAATGTGGACTAGACAATGAATCCCTAAAAAACATTTTATTACATGTCATTGCCAAACACACAAAATAATAATAAATAAACAAACAAAAATGTCATTGATTCAGGTTTAAATCGCACAAACAAAGACCTAAAGTGCCTCTGAGCTATATTTCAGGCACAAACTGACACCTAAGTAGAGTCACGGACATTTCATATGCCAGCTAGATAGCTTTCTTACTTGAAAGAATCTAAAGACCATGGCAGGGTTACAACCCACAAAGATGAGTGGCCGGTGGTTTGAAGTCATCAATCTTGGCCACATGTGCCTTAGATAAATATTAAATTCTTAACCACTCAGGTCCAGGCACCCTTATCTTAACCACTTGACCTCAGGCGCCATTACAAAATAATTTGAGCCGTGTCACGACAAATCCACCATAATGGCTTTGCGACCAGCATGTATCAAGACCAGCCTGCACATCCTCGCAGTCTGATTAGGATCCATGCTGTTCGCTATCAGTTTCTCTACTTGTTATAGAGTTTGTAAGCGAACAGCATGGATCCTGATCAGACTGCGCTACGCGGATGCGCAGGCTGGTCTGGATCCATGCTGGTCGCAAAGCCATTATGTTGGTTTTGTCGTGACACGGCTCATTTAACAAAATCAAGATACCTTCTGTACATGTGTATTAAGACTGCTCTTTGTTGCATAACTTCTCTCACAAACATGACATCTGAACTGTCGTGACACATCACGTTTGACCGTGTCATCGTGATTCTTCTTGTGATGATTGAGATTAGACAACTGAGCAAAAGATCTGCCACAACCCTCCACATCACACTTGTAAGGGCGATCACCTGTACACAAAAACAGCAAAAACTACATACATGTATGAGTGAGTCAATTTTTTTTTTCAAAACTTTCCATTTTTATATATTATTTTTTGACAATAAAATATAACAACAAAAATCACTCTAATAAAGTCATATGAAATGGTTGCCACAGCAGAGTGTTAAATATATTTAGGACTGAAAAACAGAAATTTTATCATGACAATTTGTCACCTTAGTGCTGTAATGGGTTAACTAGATTTATATTATTCAAATGGAGTTAACCTGTTACTGCACCAATGTGACAATATTATCACAGAATTATATTTACTAGGAATTAACCATACATGTATTTAATATCACATACCCATGTGGCTTTTGCTACGGCAGTGCATATATTTCGATGCGACGTCATGTGCGTTATATAAAGATATAATTGAGAAGCACTAAATGTTAGCATTATAATAAAGGTGTGTCAATGAAAATGGTTCTTTTTAACAAACAGTCTTTATTTTTGGTATGTGATAAAAAGAATATAAAATTTGTGCCCTTATAACACTTCTACTACATATCATGAATAACTACTTCTTATCATACATATTTACTGTACGTCAAGCAGTTTAATCACTTTGATACAGAAATTCCTCAAACCCATGATGTACATTAGACAGATTTAAATTTAAAAGAGGACAAGTTATATTTCAAGATGTACAAAGATCAAAATGTGCAGGTTTACTTGTTATATTATGTGGATTATAATTGAAAACACTGCTACTTTACCTGTATGGACACGAATATGTTGATTTAAATGGCAGATCTGTTTAAAAGACTTTTCACAATAGGAACACACATGTTTTCTCTTGTTATTGTGTACAAGTTCATGCTGGGTTAACTGTGGCTTATTTCTAAACCCTTTAAAACAAGTCATACACAGATGTGTCCTATCTGATTGACTGAGCCGGCTCCTATCATCATTTAATGTAACTGGGGAACCAGACTGTTTTGGACTGGCTTCAGATGTTGAAGAGGTGACTGGTGCCATTTTTTCTGGACTGTGAGGCATGGGTTCTGATTTGACTGGTAGTTGTAATAACTCTTGTTGCTGCTGATGTTGTTGCTGTTGAAGATGATGTTGTTGTTGTTGCTGCATCTGCTGCAGGTGCTGCTGCTGTTGTTGTGAATGTTGCACTTCTCTGCTTTGTTGCAGTAACTGCTGCACTTCTGAATCTCGCAACATAATCTCACTCCCCTTCTTCACCTCATTTTCATAGAAAACACTGGATGATGATTGGGGCTGAGAGTAGCTGCTGCTCGGAGGATAATTTGGCTGATCATTGGTCGCCATCCTCTAACAGGATATAAAATAATAAATTAACAACATTTTGAAGTAAATGTATCATTCCTAAATTATTCCTAATTGAGTAATTTAGAACATATATCACAAGAAATTTTCACTTTTTTAAATCAACATTTTGAATCAACATTTTTGAAGAATCTTTTTAAATCAACATTTTTGAAGAATGTTTTTAAATCACAAATATTCAGTATAAAAGGTATGATTCTTTATAATATAAACTGTAGAATTCTTAAAAAACAATATTAAACAGAATTACCAACATGCTAAAAACAGATAGATCTATGAATTAGACAGGCTTTTGTGGCATTTTAAAACAGGATTTTAAATGATCCTTTTTCAATTATATAGCCAACTTTTAATCTTTATCAGACTGTGGACCAATAATCAATGGCTGCTTCTATTTTTATTACATGTGACAAATCATTCATGTATGTAAATTTACATGTAATTTACATTAAAGCGAGATTCTGCCCCAGAACGAAAATATCTCAGAATCAAGCTTTGGCATGTCAATATATTTTGACTAGACTTCCACCATGGAATGTTTTCCCCTATTTACCTGTATATATTATAATGTTATTTCCAATAACAGACATTTTACAGTCTCTGACTTCCATTAGGGGCATTCTTCCCATGAAACTGTTTTGTTACCTCACCTTGCAGTCCATTGATTAGCAAAATTAATATGGATATGGACTGACACAGTACAAGTCAACCCGGCCCAAAGTCAACCCGGCCCCAAGTCAGCCCGGCCCCAAATTGGTCAACCCGGCCCCAAACGAATGTTATTTCTGGTCAACCTGGCCCCATTTTTTTATATTTTGGGGTCGGAATGACCGATTTTGGGGCCGCACTGACCAATTTTGGGGCCGCATTGACTAAATAAAAATACTGTGGGACAGGATTGACCAATTTTGGGCCGGGTTGACCAATTTTGAGGCCGGGTTGACTTGGAAGTTGGGGCTGGGTTGACTGTAATTCGGACTGACACTGTTTATCATTTATAACCAATGTCTCGAGGCGCGAACAGGTGCAGTGTTTGATTTTTTTAACAATGGCACCAGTTGGTAAAATCATATGGAATCAAAACCATATTACATTGTATTACAACAAGATACAAGAAACTTTATTTTAAGTCGGTTTAGGTCTACATATTACAAGAAGCATTAGCTAAATAAGCTATTTATTAGCTTTGAATATTAAATTAAACATTAATCAGTTTATCATTCACATTAATTAACTTAATGTTTATTACACTGAATAAGTTGAAGAAATTAACACAATGAACATTTATTCTGTCACCCGGTATCTAATGTCCAAACTTATTTCTTTGTTTGACAGTACCCCACCCACACGTTTTAGTTTACAAAACTAACATTTCCAGAAGACCTTGCAATTTGATCTTCATTAAAATAATTGCAAAACAGTAACAAATATGTTATTTATCATAAAATATATACCTGTGATTTACTTGTCGACCAGTTATGCTGCAAATCGATAAAATATTAATTATTTGCAAAAAATAAACAAATCCACGGTGCGGCGTAATAATAACTTTAACGTGAAAATAACTTACAGCTGTTTTTCTTTTTGTTTGTTTTGGTTTTATTATTTTCTCATAGAATTAATCATATCCCTTAAATGAAGAATGAAAAATGGTGAATTTAAAACACTTGTTCCAGGATTTTAATCCAAGGTTTGTTTTATAACCAAAAATCTATGTTTTGATAACATGAATTAATTTTTGGTAAATATATTTCAGAGTTTTATAAAATCCGGATAGATCTATATAATAAAATTACTGTTAATAAATTTTATTATGTGTTTAGAATAACACGTTTGACGGTGTCACAAAGTTGACATGTTTCAATTTATCTTGTGCGCACAAGATACCATGTCTTGGCCATGAGTTACTAAGTCTATCCATGAGATAGTTAAGTCCTTGGAGCATGTTGCTAAGTAAGTAAGTTGTGGGCACGAGATAATTAAGTTGTGGGCATGAGATACTATTTCGTTGGCACGAGATACTACATTGTATGTCATGGCCACGGGTTACTAAGTCGTGGCCAAGAAATAAATAAGTCCTGGGAACAAGATACTGATCGAGTTACTAAGTCGTTGGCACAAGATAATTAAGTGGTGGGAATATTAGATACTATGTCCTGGCCACGAGTTACCAAGTCATGGGCATGAGATAGTTGGAACGTTAATTATCTTGTGTACATGAATTAGTTATCTCGTTCCCACAACTTAGTAACTTGTGGCCACGAATAAGTAACTTGTTGCCACAACATATTATCTTGTGCGCACCATTTAATCATCTCGTGGCCATGACATAGTATCTTCGGGCTATGACATAGAATCTCTTTTCCACAACTTAATTATCTTTTGCCCACGACTTAGTAACAAATTTCAGTCAAAATGATGGTGTGAAAAAAATAAGTAATTATAGATTATTCAATACAATATTGATTCTGTTGGACATGTTCACAGTGCAAAGTCCGGTATGGGTTTGACAGCTGTGTACTCATCCAATTGACTGTCATTGACTGTAATTTAAAAACAATTTCTTTCTTTTTTTCTTATTTCACTTTTTTCTCTCTTTCTTTTTAACCTGAAACACCATTTAAAAATAATTTGTACAAAAGTGCCGGCCCATTTAGGGAAATTTATTGGTTTGACATAACTACTCATACTCAAAGCCATCAAAGAAAATGTATACTACAGTATAATGCATCCTTATACACATTATAAAGGAGCTATTTTTGTTGGAAATTAGATATTAATTCTATTAACAATAACACATTATTTAGTTTACAAAACTGACTTTTTATTAATTAAATTTTATTATATTTCAGTAAATTTGTGATATTCTCCTGCCTGCTCGTGTTTTCTTTCCTGTTTGCTCTGAGACTTGACAACACAATAGAGTGGAGTTACTGGGTTGTTTTTCTACCAATATGGATTTGGAAATTCCTGGTGATATTTGGTGCTATCATTGGAAGTTATGTCTGGTTTAGACATCCGCTATACAGGTGATTACTTTATTACTTGTCTTGTTATCAAGGTTCTGTGATAAGGTATTGTGATTTTATTCTCATATTTTACAGCTACATATAAATAAAGGCTGTTTCTTCTAGACCAAAGTACATGTAGGTATATTTTCCCCTGAAATGCCCTAAAAGGTCACCAGAACCACAACTTAACAGCAGCTGACTTATATCAGTTAGTTGATAAATTTGAATTGAATTGAAATTGATTTTTTTCTTTTAAACTTTGGGTAAAATGGTACTGAATTCCATTTTTAGTTGTCAGGTTTTCCTCCTTTTCTGATTTACTATATGCTGTATTTCCCCCCTTCAAAAGCCACAGGTTGTTTTGAAAAGGTAAGTACTGTGTTAACCCTTTACCTCATATATACGTGAAACAACACATTTTCGACCCCCCCCCCCCCCCCCCTTTTTTAAGCCTCAAATAGTGAAAAAATGCCCTATTTGCCCAAAACACATGTTTTTGTTTGAGAAATGTTGCTAAAAAAGTGAGCACTTTTTCAGCGCCGCCCCCATCCAAAAGATACATCAGGGGGTTGCCAGAAGGGGGATGTGCCCCCTTCTGTTTGGGGAGTTTGAAGGGGGGTGGAGTCCCACTCATCGCCAAGAAAATTTTGGACTTGTTAGAGTCTAAAAATGACCCGAGGTCGATCATAAGGTAATGTGTAACCAACGCCGAAAAGCCTTTGACTCTATCTCAATCCATTGAGAAGTTGCAGCACTTTGAAATAAATTATGATGGAAAAAATCAAGGCAAAATCATGATTTTTGGCAATTTTGAGATGTCCCCTTGTTGCCATGGTAACAGGAAATTTAAGACTGAGCATGTCGTTACAAAGCCAATGGTCCAGTGAACATTTTTGCCAAGTTTGATTAGTATTGAAGCATTTTTCATAGTTTTATAGCAGTTTGAACTTGTAACAGGAGGCTTTTCAATGAAAACGGCCATTTTTCAAAATATGCTTATGAGGGAAAGGGTTAAAATCTGAATAATTTATTGTTGGGGTTCATATCTAATTTGTTTCTGAAAATTTGCGATATTGTCATTCAACATTTCACATTATATCACAAAGCCAACTATATCGTATACATTTTAAAAAGCATGTATTGGTTTCCATTGGCAACTTCATGTATGATTATAACTTTATATAGAGGATATTGAAGGAGTGTAAGTTTAGTACTAAAGTAAATTAATTGAATGAGTTTCATAGGAGTGGTTTGATGTAAAATTTATGTGCCTTAAGTGTAACAACAACATTAAGGTACGCTATATTTGTATATGATAAATGGGATCACATTGTATTGTTATTACCCTAGTGCATTATCAATTTTATGGAATTTCTTTATAAATAATACACTCCTGCACCATGGTTTATGTGATAAATAAAGGATATTGAATGAGTGTAAGTTTAATACTGAATTTATTCAAAGTATTGAAGAAAATTATATTATTCTAGCCTCTGGTGAGCATTATATAATTTTATTCACAAGTTCAATTATTAAACTTACATGAATATAATATTCTTTTTATCACATACCAAAAATAAAACCTGTTTAAAGTGAAAAAGTAACATTTTTCATTGAAACCCCTAAAGTATAATGGTAACAATTAGCGTGTCTTAATGCTATGTTTGGACTGTATAACACAAATGATGTCACATCAAAATATAGGCACAGCCAGTGCAGTATCGTTTCTATGGAGTCGTAAAAAGAGCACAAGTGTTCGATAAAAAATAAATATCTTACAATAATACCAGCAGTCAATGTTTTTCAATTTATTGGCTGGATTTCTTATTCTATAGTGTAATACCTAAATTTTCTCACTAGCCCAAATATATAAATTGTAGAATTTTCACTACCCAAGAAATCAAATTACCAGTATTTTACTGTTAGACTAGTGTGAATTTTGATGACTGTACTAGTACGTTATTCATGTAATTTACATATTGTATGTTACTTAAATAATTATATATATTTACTTTAGAAATGTTGCAGATTAAATTAAAACATGTTAAAGGAACTCCACTGTGTCCAAAAAACTGGAAATAAATTTTCCAGATAAAAGTTCCAATTGATGTAGGTCTAGACAAATAACTTGTGTGCAAACACAGAAAATATATTAAGACAATTTATGGTAAAAGAAATGAAAGTAGCTCAGGACCTCGTAGACAAAATATCATTCGAGCGAGTTCATAGAATGGGCAACAAAACCAATGGTCGCTCTCGAAACATTGTTGCCATATTTACCCTGTTCAAGGAAAGAGAACTTGTGAGGAAACAGTGGAAAGCCCTGTCCGGTACACCATACTTTGTTAACGAACAACTCCCAAGGGAAGTAATCGACAGACGAAGGAAGCTTATACCGAGGATGAAGGAGGCGCGTGAGCAAGGTAAAACTGCATGGTTAACGTACGACACGTTATACATAGACGGCAAACCAGTTAAGGACTAGGAATTTGCGGGGGATGAACTGAAAATTATTTCTTGGAATATAAATGGTTTAAGTAAATTTAAAAGAGACAACAACGAACTTTTGGATATAATTACTAAACATGACATCATTTTTCTGTATGAAACATTTGCGTGTAAGAACAGTGTAATTGACATTTCTGGATATAAATCCCATAATTTCTATAGACAGTTCCAACACCGAAGAGCAAAAAGATCGAGTGGCGGAGTCGCAATATATTATAAAGAAACAATATCACCAGGTATTTCTGTTGTTGAGAATAGGTTCGATACATTAATTTGGGTTAAACTCGACAAATATTTTTTCCATACTGAAAATGATATTTACTTATGTGGTGTTTATTTGTGGGGTGAGGACTCCCCAGCATATAATACTGTAAATGTGGATTTATTTGAATATATTGAAAATGATATAAACCATTTTGAATCTTTAGGAACTGTATATTTAATGGGAGACTTCAATAGTAGAGTTGGTAATAAATATGATTTTATAATCTTTGATTGTATGAATAAGTCTTTTGATGACGAGTTATATGTTCCCGATAAATTTATTGACCGGGCCTCCTTAGATAAAACCTGTAATAACTACGGTGTAAAATTAATTGATCTATGTCGATCAACAAATCTCCGTATTGTTAACGGAAGGTTGCATAATGATTTTAATATTGGTATGTACACATACGTTTCACAAACTGGAGCATCAGTTATTGATTATGTTTTGACAAATGCAGTTAATTTTTCAAATATTACTTCTTTTGAAATACAATCTGTCAACGAATTTAGTGATCACGCTCCTGTAAGTCTATCGTTGAAAACAAACGTTTGTTTACCTGTCCGTAAAGAAAGTAGCTATGTAAAATATGTAGGGGATAGTAATCTGGAAAATTCATTCAGAGCAGGACTAATCGCAAAATTACCGGAATTTAACCAACTTTTGATTGGTATTGATTGTGGTGACCGAGGTTGTGTGAACAATGTTTTAAATAACTTTACCTGCTTACTAAGGGGCGTGGCTGACCCATTTTTTGAGAAAAATTATAAACAAAAACATAACGCTTCATTCACTGATAGTTTTACTTCAAATAATGCAGACTGGTTTGATGGTGAATGTAGATTGTTGAAAAACCGTTATCTAGATGCTTTGAATAATTTTAATTATTGTAAAGATGTAGAAAGTAGAGAATATTTTTGTATATGTAAAAAAGAATATAAAGATTTAACCCGTAGGAAAAAGAAATCATATATAAAGAGGAAATATTCTGAAATTGAAAAATTACGATTTAGTAAACCAAAGCAATTTTGGTCTCATTTTAAAAAAAAATAAAACATCTGTTTCAGATGACATTTCTGTCGAAGATTTCAAAACATATTTTGAAAATTTATCTAACAATATTTTTGAATCAAAAAATTTAGAGTGTCAAACGTTTTGTAATGAACATGATTTTAATTCAAGTGATTGTAGGTTTGATGAGTTAGATATACCCATTACATGTGAGGAGATCCGTAAAGCTGTAAAATCCTTAAAACAAAATAAAGCTTCCGGATCAGACTGTTTATTAAATGAGTATTTTATATCGTCCATAGATATTTTATGTGGACATATATGTGATTTATTTAATATTATTTTAGAGTCAGGTTTTTTCCCAGATAAATGGACAGAGGGTGTTATTGTGCCTGTGTTCAAAAAGGGTGACTCAGGTGACGTAAAAAATTACAGGGAATTACTCTCCTAAGTTGTTTATCTAAACTTTTTACTACTGTATTAAATACTAGAATTGAAAATTTTTGTTCAAACAATTGCATTATATCAGACTGTCAATTTGGTTTCAGGAAAGGAAAATCAACTATAGATGCCATATTTATTTTACAAAATGTAATTCAACACTATCTTAATAATAATAAAAGGTTATATGTAGGGTTTATTGATTTAAAATCTTGTTTTGATAGCATATGTAGAAACTCGCTTTGATTGAAAATGTATAAGTGCGGCATTCAAGGTAAAATATTGCGAATCATTAGAGATATGTATAATAAAGTTAAGTCATGTGTAAGATGTTGTAATTGTTATTCTGATTTCTTTAAGTATGCCGTGGGCTTAAGACAAGGGGAGGTAGTTTCACCGATACTTTTCTCCATTTTTGTAGAAGATCTAGAGTTACATTTACAAAGCAACATAAGTTCTGGTTTGTTAATTGACGACATTATATTAATCTTGTTACTTTTTGCAGATGATATGGCTATTATAGGCAAAAGTCCGGATGATTTACAAAATAGCCTTGATTTATTGTATACTTATTGTATAGAATGGGGATTAGAAGTTAATATTGAAAAAACCAAGATAATGATATTTAGAAAAAGGGGAACTATTTTTAACAATGAAAAATGGTTTTATAACGGACAAGAAATAGAAATTGTAAACCATTTTAATTATCTTGGCACAGTTTTCAGCTACACTGGTAATTTTTCGTTGCACAGGGAACATTTGATTGGTAAATCTTTAAAAGCTTTAAATATGTTATTGTATAATTGTAAAGATTTTGATTTTAAGCCTACATTATTGTGTCAGCTTTTTTGATGCATTTGTTGATCAATTTTATCATACTCTTCGGAGCTTTGGGGCTATAATAAGTCCAAAGACATAGAACGTATACACATGAAATTTTGTAAAAGAATTTTAAAAGTTAGACAAAATACATGTAACGCAAGCGTATACGGGGATTTAGGTAGATATCCTCTTTTCATAAATAGATATGTTAGAATTATAAAATTTTGGTGTAAATTGTTAGTTACAGATAATATTATCTTGCAAAAGGTTTATGAACAAAGTTTATACGATTGTCATAAAGGTTGTAATAATTGGGTTACTGATGTTAAGAATATGCTTGATATGTATGGGTTTTCCGATTATTTTGTTAATATTAATAAAGTTGATTGCAAAATTTTTCCAAGATTGTTTAAACAAAGACTGTTGGATAATTATAGACAAGAATGGAATACAGCGATTGAAAACAGTTTAGTATTAGATCTTTATAAAAGTTGTAAAACAACACTATTATATGAAAATTATTTAGATATTTTACCAAAACACTATAGATTTTTTATTACAAGAATGAGAATGTCAGCTCATTCACTGAGAATTCAAACTGGAAGGTATGGTCAAAATAGATTGCCACGTAATGAAAGATATTGCCTTTGCTGTAACAATGTTGATATAGAGGACGAATACCATTTCATATTGATATGCCCATGTTTCTTAGAAATTAGAAAAAAGTTTATTAAAAAATACTACTATAAAAGGCCTTCCATGATAAAGTTTATTGAACTACTATGTAGCAATCAAAAGAATATATTATTTAATCTGGCAAAATATATAAAAGAGTAATTAAATTACAGAAATACTATTGTTAATTCTGTCAGATAAATTTGATTTATGATTATATATGTCTTTATTAAAGAATATATAAATTTCATTCAACATTTTTATGTATAGATTTTTTCTGAAGATATGTCTGCTATGTAAACATGTATATTTAATTATGTTTAAAACAGTTTATCCTCAACACTATAATATCAATTTTTGTTAATTTGAAATAACATTCTAGAATAATAACTAAAGTAACGTGACATTGTCTTTAAAGTTTGTTTTAATGCATTGGAAATTAGTATTGAAAATGTATTGTAATGTATTGCAATGTATTATCACACTATGTATGATTATGATTATGTACTATGTACAAGTCGAAATAAAATAATGTTCTGTTCTGTTCTGTTCTGCAAAATTTCAGATCATTAATTTTGCTCCCTCCAGTTTTCCAAAACAATTATTCAAACCATAAAAAGTGACCCAAAATCAAAAAGCATTGCAATGCATGGCAATGCTTTCCCTCAAATAAAGAAAAACTCTATATAAAAGTGTATGTTTCAATTTATTTTTAAGTTTATTTCTTGATTAATTTTTGCATACCTTTTTGTTTTAGGTTCTCCGGTTATTCTATGTAAGAAATTGAAATCTTTTAGACTTTTTGTTGAGTTCCTTTAAGAAATATTCATTATATCATTATATTTCAGACTGGAGGGAGATAGTTTTGTGCAGTTTAAAGCTATGATAATGACCACCAGCATGCACCTGATGTTACTGGTGTTTGACATTCTAGCTTGTGATAACCTAGAGACAGACAATCACTCCTGGATGTTTGTATTCATACCCCTGATGTTCATGTCAATTGTCTCCATTGGATTTTGTGTATGGGCTATAAAGAATGAGAGATCCTTCGAGGTGAGAATACGGTTTTTGTATTCCTAGAAGTCTTTGGTTTAAACAGTATATTTATTTCATATAATGCAAACATATACAATCATGGTAGAACAACATTATATAAAACAGGATTGAAAAGGAAGTGAAAGACTTGTGTAGATTTCTATCCTGTGTTCCTAGAAAGCTTTAAAGCTGCATGCCCCTAGATGAGTAAAAAAAATCAGGAAAGTCAATTTTGAGAAAAAGGTTTCAAAGATTTTAATAAATTTAAAAATATTCACAATTTAAGTAAACATTTTCAAGTTATATGCAATGAATGAATTTTACAGTCATTGGGTTCCATGGAATATAAGCAATATTTTGTGTGTTTTTAGCTCGACTATACGAAGTATATGGAGAGCTGTCCTACTCGCCCCGGCGTCGGCGTCCGCGTCCAGATTTTAGATTAAAGTTTTGGTGCAGTAAAATATTTTTCACTATAACTTTGTCATTTCTTAAGGTATCAACTTCAAACTTCAAATATATGTTCCTTATCATCAACCACATCATATGTGACAAGGTTCATAACTCTAGCACCAATATTTTTCAGATTTATCTCCCCTTGAACTTAAAATTTTCCTCAAAAAATACTATTTTTTACTGTTACTTCTTTATTTCTTAAGGGATCAATCTCATACTTCAAATATATGTACCTTATCATCATCCCCATCTTATGTGACAAGGTTCATAACTCTAGCACCAATATTTTCAGATTTATCTCCCCTTGAACTTAGAATTTTCCTTAAAAAATTCTATTTTTTACTGTTACTTCTTTATTTTTTAAGGGATCAACCTCATACTTCAAATATATGTACCTTATCATCATCCCCATCTTATGTGACAAGGTTCATAACTCTAGCACCAATATTTTCAGATTTATCTCCCCTTGAACTTAGAATTTTCCTCAAAAAGTACTATTTCTTACTGTTTCTTCTTTATTTCTTAAGGGATCAACCTCATACTTCAAATATATTTACGTTGTCATCATCCCCATCTTATGTGACAAGGTTCATAACTCTAGCACCAATATTTTCAAATTAATCTCCCTTTTAACTTAGAATTTTCCATAAAAAATATTTTTTTTACTGTTACTTATTTATTTTTAAAGGGATCATATTCATACTTCAAATATATTTACGTTATCATCATCCACATCTTATGTGACAAGGTTCATAACTCTAGCACCAATATTGCAAGAATTATCTCCCAATAAACTTAGATTTTTTTACTAAAACAATGTTATTTTTTATTATAACTTTTTTATTTTTAAAGGTATCTACCTCAAACTTCAAATACTTATTCCTTATCATCAATTACATTTAATGTGACAATGTTCATAACTCTTGAAGCAATATTTACACATTTATCTCTATCTCTTTGAACTTAGGATTTTCTTTAAGAAATATAATAACTTCTTTACTTTTTAAGGTATCTACTTCAAACTTCAAATATATATTTCTTATCATTACACAAATGTTGTTTGACAAGATCCATAACTCTAGCATGACTATTTCTAGAATTATTCCCCTTGATCTTTAAATTTATGTTAACAAATGTTAATTTTTTTACTATAACTTAATACATAATTATACATAATTGATTTTTCTTTCATAGTTTTGTCCTCCTTACTGCGTCCAGTATTTTATTAGTCGAGCTTCGCTGTCTCCTGTGACAGCTCTTTTGTGTGTTTTTTAAGGATGGTGTATTTTCGTGAAATCATTACAAACATAGGAATTATGAACAAACAATAACACTTTCCTACATGTACTCTGCAATTCTAATTTTATACATTCAATGTATACAAACTGTCGGTGACTGAGGTTGAATGTTTATATTTAATCTGTAATGTAATGAATACATTGATTCCAATCAAAGAGCAAGATATTTTTTTCAAAGGGAAAGTTTACCTTGAAATGTTTTTTATTATTATCTTTTAAGTCATAGTGTATGAAGTATACATACATGTTAGTACATTTTAATGATAATCTAAAAAGCAAGAAACGTTTGTGGATTATAACTATTTCATGATTATAACATATATAAACCTTCTCTAACATGTACTTATGCACTCATTTAAAAGATAGGGCCAATTTATGGAAAAAATAGACAAGCTGAAAAATGGCGATTTCTGTCGTAGGCAATGGCAAATTTAATAAGCCATATAAAAGCTATTTATAAATTATATAATAAAACAGATATGTACTTTTTAGCGGGTGAATATGATTTGATATGTACTGAACAAATAATACATTGTAATATTGACCTCAGCTATCGCTGCGGTCAATATTAATTTTTTCAGTACATATCACATCATATTCACCAGCTTAAAAGTCCATATTTGTATAATATATAAATTGGTGCACTATATTCCCTAACTTGCTGTGAGAGTGGGCAGAGCAAAATATACAACTTAATGAAATTTTTTTTTCTGCAGTTAAAGTATTAAGATAGCTAATTTGAAATGAATATAACATTAATTTCCTTATGGTATATTTATTTCACATCTATCTTTTTAAAAAAACTTTAAATCTGTATGAATTTTTGTCTCTATTATATCAACAGCACTGATATTTTTATTTATATTTGACCTGATTTATAGATATTCATATAACCATTTCAATTTCATGAAATGATATGTTCAAGGAAAAATGTTAAATACATATAAGAGTAATTCCTATCAGTGTCCTTTACGGATAAGTCAGCTATTAAAGCTGCATGCCTCCAGATGAGCCAACAAATTTCAGGGAATCAATTTTTAGAAAAAAGTTCAAAAATTTGAATAAAAATTTCACAAATAACTTACATGTTTTATGAAATGAATGACTGATTTTACAGTATTTTCTCCATATTCTTACTGCAGGATTAAAGAAGAAAGGGGTTTTTGAGTGGTTATTTTGACCATGATTATTTATGTAGTAATTTACCTGGATTGAAAATGCTGTTTTCAATGTTTTTTTGTTTTTTTCTTTGTTCACTTGAAATATTTTACTTTTTAAGTACATTTTCCAAATTTTCATGAAAATTATCATGAATCTAGAGGCATGCTGCTTTAAATACATTAAAATATCATTTATAAATGTTCTGTATTTGATACATTTCAGTTGGAGTTGTTCTGTTCTGTAAATATTCTACAGTTTATATTCCTTGCATTGAGGTTGGACAATGTCATTCACTGGAGTTGGGTGGTAGGTATCAGTTGTCTAATTATATTTTACATTTCAGTTTGCTTTAAGTGAATAAAGTTACATATCTGCAGCAAAAAAAAATTGAAATTAAAAATAAAAAGAGTACTAACAAAATGTTTTATACATGTATATGAAAGAAATATGAGCCGCGTCACAACAAAACCAATGTAATGTGTTTGGGACCAGCATGGATCCAAACCAGCCTGCGCATCCTCGCAGTCTGATCAAGATCCATGCTGTTCGCTATCAGTTTCTCTACTTGTAATAGGGTTTGTAAGCGAACAGCATGGATCCTGATCAGACTGCATGGATGCGCAGACTGGGATGGATCCATGCTGGTCGCAAACGCATTACGTTGATTTTGTTGAGACACGGCTCAATAATGGAAAAAAATTTACTCACTTGTATGGAATCATTTCTAAACAGATAAATCTGTACTTAACATAGCAGAATAATATTTTGTTGCAGAACATTTTATTTCGTTTACATACAACTTCTTTCCTGAATCAACCCTAAGATTATTGAACAAATATAATTTTATTGTTGATTGAATTTTATAAAAATTAAAAATTTTTAGAATATTTCATTAGATATAGATTTATACCCTTAAAGGTCTTATTTTTTAGAACAATCTTTTAGGATTTCCAACCCTAATGAAAGTTTTAAATCCAGATATATTTGGTCTGCTTTTGTCTTTTCCATGATAACTGTATTGGAAGCTTATCATGCTTATGGTCTAAGGGTTAGATGTTCCTTTGGAATGTGAGAGGTCTGGATCCGATGTAATATTTTCAGGAGTGGGTTAGCCACGAGTGAAAATGTTTTTTAACCACTGTATTATTATATATTTCAAATTGTATTTATTCCTAATGTATTACTTGATTATAAATTTCAGATTGTATTTATTCCTATATGGATAGTCATGTGTGTATCAATGATCGGTGTTATATATGCTGTTATTCTGGCAATCATTTTGTCACGTTCACCGGAGATTATCAGGGACCAGCGTCGTGGAAATCTCACTACTGCCATCGGATATTCTCTTCTAGTCATTCCTATGTTGATTTTTGAAGTAAGTTATTTTAGACTTGATTTTATTGTTTGTTTGTGTGTTTGTTTTTTATTTCATTTTATGCCTTTTCCCGACAGTATTTCAGTCATATAGGTGGGTAGTTTCCTAACCATCGTTCCTGGAGAGTAACACTAGTACTAGACTACCTTCCCCGGTGCTAAACTACCAAAGCATCTCCCGGGGATCAAACCCACGCCAGAGAGGTAACTTAGTTAGAAGTCATCGACTCTAACCCCTCGGCCATGGAGGCGGTTTGATTTTATTTTGGATATTTAAGCTCTAAATTATCCATATTAAAGTGACTTGCTTTCAGAGAAATTATTTGTGTCAAATTTTACAAAATGTAAATAAAATGTCATGGACTTACCATTGTTTTTGTATAGTTCACGTGTGAGAGTATCTCTATGGCTTAAGCTACACTCGTTAAGTGTAACCCTTTGGTTGAACATTCAGAAAAACAAATGGCACTTTAAGAAAGAAATACAGTGTGTTTTCTAAAGAATCATTCTATGGAGAGATGTAGATAACCAGTTCCTGTATACTCTGTTGAAATATCACACAAGCCTATAGTATACACCATTTGAAAGTTAAAACGTTTATATATTAATGCATGTTCAAATATTGGTAACTTTCTATGCTTTTCACTTAAAATAATATAGCAGAAAAAAACCACCACACCAGTGTTTTGTCATACGCATAGTTCTTCAAAAAATGATGTATCATTTAACCATATTTATTTGGGAACAGTAATGTCTTTCTCCTGCAGTCATAGACAAATGTACCATATTAGCTTTCATAAAATGTATTTTGTACTGCATTTTGATATCTTGTTAACAAGTTTTACTTGTTTAAAGTTTAAGTAAAGCAAGCACACATGATATCTTAACTTGCATGGAAGTTGCCTATCTCTGTTATCTATACCTCTGTTCTATGAATAGATTACTGCTCAAAACTTCACTTCTATTTGAAGCAGTATTTTTTCCTACATATCATGTTGTATTCAGTTGTATATAGTTAAGTGTAAGTTTGCTTGTTTTGCAGATTATGTTAGCCAACAGACTTGATGAAGACAACCATTTTAAATATACAGCCATCACTGTACCATTATATATTTCATTGTTAACACTGGTTTTACTGTCATTTGGAGCAAAGGGGGGTAACCAGTGTAAGTATTTAATATCTTCATATTACATTCTTAAAAATCTGAACAAAGGGGAGTAACTAGTGCAAGTATTCAATGTCTATGTAGTTCATTGTTAACACTGGTTTAAATGACATTTAGAACAAAGGGGAATAACCAGTGTAAGTTTTCAATATCTATTTAGTTCATTTGTTAACGCCATTTTTGTTTTCATTGAAAAAGCATTCTGTTACAAGTTCAAACTGCTATGAAACTATGCAAAATCCTTCAATACTGATGAAACTTGGCACAAATGTTGACTGCACCATAGCCTCTGTAACAGTATGCTCAATCAAAATTTCCTGTTACCATGGCAATGGGGGATTTCTTAAAATAGCCAAAAATCACTATTTTGCATTGTTTTTTTTCCCATCAAAACTGATTTCAAAGTGCTGCAACTTCTTAATAGATTGAGATAGAGTAAAAAGGTTTTTCATCAATTGTTACAAGTTAAATACAATCGACCTGAGGCCATTTTTAGCCTGTCACATGTCCAAAAGTTTCTTGGCAAGGAGGGGAGCTGCAGTCCCCCTTCTGGCAACCCCTTGATGTACCTTTTTGAAAGGGCATGGGGCAGAAAATGTGATCACTTTTTTATCAAGATTTCTCAAACAAAAAACAGTGTTTGGGGCCTAAATAGGGCATTGTTGCATTGTTTGAGGCTCCAAAAAGGGGTGGGGTGAAAATTTGTCAAAACCCGTTTATATGAGGTAAAGGGTTAATTGTTTACAATGCTATAACTCTTACAGTGATTATACTATAACACTAGTATAACTAGAAGACTGGTTTTACTCTTACACAGATTTTACTGTCATTTTTTTTTAGAAAATTTATACAGCATTCATACCAAAGTGTAAAGCTTATAAATTAGAAAATTTCGATTAAATTTGTAAATTTTTGAATCTGAAAAGAACAGTTTAGATTTGTGTATCTTTTTCAGGGTGGTTTGGCATCAGAAAAGATTTTTGTCAATTTTCACTGGGACTGTGTCCCTGTTTACAAGAGTACGGGAACATATCATATTCAGCACAGACCCATAGTGAGCAAATCTCCGAGCCGGAACATATGACACCAAAACATTTACAAACAAAAAAGAAACCACCCGATGATTTTCAAAAAGTTGTTGTACCAATTATTTCTATAGAGACGCCAGATTGAAATAAATTTATTTTATTATAAAAGTTATGCTTGAATTATGAAATACACATATTTAGATTAGGGTAGATAGTTTTGTCAGGATTGTGTTCAGGTTCTCTTGAAATTTCTTAGAATTATTGCAGTGTCAGAAATAAATATAGACATGTTAAAAATATTTTCAGTGTCACTGATACTAAGATTTGTCTAGAATGTTAAATTAATAAATTAGTGACATTTTGCCCATCCAAGGGTATGTAGTTAGTGAATAGGTGAAAGTCAATGGACCTTTCCAGTGTCTACAGTTTTATGTAAATTAGCTAACTTCTTATCCAATTACTACACTGAGATAATACATAGTCACTGGTTGACCTGGTTTGCACAAAAGAACATGTGGTTATGTTTGTGATTCTGTTTGAGAGCAGTTCACCTTGCAATGAATGGAGAAGGTGTGACTAAATGTTCCTCTATAAAAACTGGAAAGGTCCATTGCCACATTTCTTTTCAGTTTTTTTGTGTCGCCTTTAAAAAGGCGACATAGAGTTTACTTTTGTCAGCGGCTTTGTTGTTGGTATCGTCCGCGTCCCCTAAAGCTTGTCTGGAGCATAAGTCAGTCATTATAAGTCGGATTGACTTCAAACTTGGTATGCATGCTTGTTATAATGACCCGAAGTGCAGTGCACAAGAACCGGTACTCTGCACTTCTTAGTTTTTGAGTTATTGCCCTTTGTTAATTTTCTGACTTTATTTTTGTCCGGGCATTTTCTCCTAAAGTATAAAAGCTATGGACTTGAAACTTCATAGGATGATAGATCTCATTAAGAAGAAGTGCACTGCACAAGAACCGGTACTCTGCATTTCTTAGTTTTTGAGTTATTCATTGCTGATTTTCATACGTTATTTTTGTCCAGGCCATTTCTCCGTAAGTGTAAATGCTATGGTCTTTAAACTTCATAGGATGATAGATCTCATTAAGAAAAATGCAGTGTACAAGAACTGGTACTCTGCACTTCTTTATTTTGTTCATTTTTGTCCTGGCCATAAATTCTCCTAAACTATGTTGTTCAAAAGGCGACACATCTGACTTGCGGAGTCCTAGTATTATTTACCTTGCAGGAATGATAAATAACTCATGTGGCCCAAAGAAATGTCTTAAATATCCATCAGAATTTACCTGTAAAGTTTAATTCATAAAAGGCAGTCTTTTTATATTTTAGGTAGATTTATATTTCATCTTAAACATTTTCCAGTATCAACTGTTGGTCAATTACCTTTATAACAGTCAATCTTTTGAAATAAATAGTCAACTCAACTTACTTTTAAACATGTTAAAGTGAACAAAAATGAGCATAATGTCACTTTAATAAGATTTTTCACGTACAAGCTAACTAAATGCTTTGACTGAATTGAATATGGATTTACAATAAACATGAATTATATGCACATTGTGCCTCATAAATCCATATTAATGTTAATCCTTTATAAACATCAAACATGTGTTAAATAATGTTTAAATAATGGATTAAGTGCATGTTTTATGTTTTACAACTGAAAAAAGTAGCACTGAATATGCAGTTATGTACATGTGTGGTAAAGGTAGCAAAAAGTAAACAAAGTATTATTTTGACTAGTACCATACAAAATACTAATTCACTATTATAATACCAATTGCCAATAGAACTTAAGATGAAAGAAATAGTTGATGTCCATAACATATGAGTATGCTTTTGGAAACTGTAATAAAATACATAAAATAAAAAGTTTTTGAGAGGTAAAAATGATATCATTTCTGAGGCATAATGGGCCTTTGTTCAGTCTGCAAGGGAGGAAATGAAAATATACAAGGTATTTTGTTTTGTTTGTATTGTACAATGATAGATATTGTATTTAATTGTATGAAAACATTCTTTTGTAGCATTAACCCTTTATTGTTAACGATAAAGTACTGGTTATATTGAAATTTAAATCCAAAGTAGATGTGATTTTCTGAAAATGTGCTTAGTGTCATAAAATATTCAGATGTTTTTTTCAGATAAAAGAAATTTGACACAGTGGAAGTGATATTTTTAGAGTTTTTATACAAGGAATCGAGTCTCCTCTAAAACTATTTTTACTTTGTTTTAAAAGGAACCATAAATGAGCCATGTCACGACAAAACCAATATAGCGCATTTGAGACCAGCATGGATCCAGGTCAATTTAGTTTGATCAAGATCCATGCTGTTAGCTAACCAACTCTATTACAAGTAGAGAAACTGATAATGAACAGCATGGATCCTAATCAGTCTGCATGTCTTGATTCATGCTGGTCGCAAACCAATTATGTTGGTTTTGTCATGGCGCGGCTCAAATCTGCATATCACTTAACTTGAGAAATGGATGTTAATTTAGGCAATCACTGCAGACAATGGCACTTTTTTCACAACCTTTGTCAAGATTTATCAACGGTCATTTACTTAAATACTTTAATCCAGCTATAATTTTTTTCAAAAATTAGTGAAAGCTTCATTTTTTGCCACATTCAATTGTTTTCATTTTTAGAATTGGCAATAGGCAGCGAAAACCTTGCATAAGATTTCTTTCTATTTAACATTTAGTAAACATATTGTTAGAATAATAGATAATCTGTGGTGTGTCATGTTTATTTTGTATTTTTAAGATTCTGTTTTTTTTTGTCTTGAATGCTGTACATATAAGCCTTCAGCTTGCTTAAAATGTGTATTACTAATGCACTAGTCTGGCTTTATTTACGACATTGAAACGTATGATTCTGAAAAACTAAGACTTTAATGCAGCCTAGGGATCACTCCTTATTGAAGATTTTTATACTTCACAAATGCAGGTGGCAAGTGCTGTATGGCAGCAGTAAAAATTACCCCATACTTCATTTCATTCTGGTTTTTCGGGATTATTGATTCTAGCATTTTTAAGTGTTGAAAATTCAGTGCCCCACAAGCCGGTGCTAGGGAGCATGGGGGATGTTGCATTTATTTCATTATCCTTCATGTAGCAACTCAATGAAGCCGAGTCTGCAATTCTCACATAATTTTGTTGTGATAAATGCATCTTAGAGATCCCCTTTTTAAAAAAACTTCTTAAGTATGTCTAGCGAACATTGTGGAATCTTTTCAGACATATACATCCTGGCTCATTACTTATAATGACAAAAAAGTCAAAATTATTAATTTATTATGCCCCCACCCAATTAAAAAGTTTAGAGTACACTGTAATTAGGTTTAGTTTGTATGACCTTCCATGCATATTGTATTTTGTATGTTTGTCTTCCTTGTTTGATCCATAACTTGAGAAGGAATAAAATTGCTAGGGACATTGACCATGGCAAGTAGGGGCCATTGGTAGGTGACCAGTGTTATGATGTCAATAGGTCACTGTAACCTTGGTCAAAAGCTTTTCCAACAATAACTTGAGAATGCTTTGGTCTAACATCGTAAAATATCTGGAAAGTGATCCCTCGGAAGCAATAATCACAACAAAATTACATGAAAATCGCAGACTCGGTTTGATTAAGTATGTACATGAGAGATAATGAATATATGAAACATCCCTCACGGCCCCTAGCACCGGCTTGAGCAGTACTCAACACTTTATAGTGCTGCTATCAAGGATCCCGAAGGACCAATAGAACCGAAGGATATAACAACACTGAAGTGAAGTACAGGGCAACATTTTAAGCCACCACACAACACTTGACATATGCTGTTGTGAAGTACAAAAATCTGGAAAGGAAGTGTGAAGGTTGGTCTTGAATGACAATGGCAATGAACACATTTGTGTTTTTTTTTCTATATTCAAAAGTTTACCTTTCCATGTCAAATGTTGCATTCTGCTTAAGCCGGTTCTAAGGGCTTGGACGACAGCTTGCAATTTCCAGTACCGTCCAGGAACAGGCTTGATCAAACTGAGTCTGCAACATTTTCAATTTTGCTGTTTTGGAATTTATTTAGGAATTTTTATTTTCTCTATCTTAAAATGTTTGTTGCTTATACATGCACACTCTTCTTAGACACCATTGTTGGACTTTTTGGCTTAATATTTGTTAGGATGTTTTGTAGTGATCATTTTTTACCCTTTTTTTATTAACATGCTCTGTTTGTTTGTTTTTCATCTCTAATATACGTTCTTTTCATTGCTTTAAAAGATTTTGGAAGTGAAATTGTTCTATTTATTTTCAAAACTAAAATACCAGTACAGTGATGATGAGTTTTTGCTACAAGTCATCTTATCTTTAAGCACGCAAGTGTTTACATCATTTATGTATTTGAATTGTGGCATTTCGAAATAAAAGCACGCAAATATCAAACTGTTTATTTTTCCTTCCCATGCCCATTTGTTATGATTATTATTCTTGACCATTTGATCAATAACATTATTTTAAATTGTTTATCTTAAATTCAATTTATATATGTCCATAACATTTTGCCAAGATATTGTTGAACATTTCAGTAACATTAATATCAGTAGAAGTAATTACACTATGTATAAAAGCAAACCATGAAATATATTTTAAGTGGGCTTGTTCATATTTCAATCTTGACAAATCTGTTTGTAATGTTTAGAAAAAAATTAAAACTGACTGAATTGCAAATGGAAAAAGACCATGAGCTTTGTCTGACAAAAAGCATGCGTGCGTGCCTATGTGTGTGTTTTATAGATTATATATATATATATAACTTAAAAAATCTTCTTGTGAAAAACCACTTGTCCAATTTCAACCAAACTTGGCAGGATTGATCCTTGGGTGAAGGGCTTCCAAAGTTGTTCAAAGAATTCATTACATGCAGAAATGTGGTTGCCATGGAACTAAAAGGAATTATAAGAATAAATCTTCTTGTAAAGACCCACAAGGCCTAGAGAATAGATATTTTGCATAAGGCATTGTCTGGTAGACCTCTACCAAGAATATTCAAATTATAGGCATGGGGTCAAAATTGGCCCGCACCATGCTCATTGATTTCAAAAAAACATTCTTGTCTGAAGGTACAACGATTAGAGCATTGATATTTGGTATATAATAACACCTATGGGTCCTCTACCAAAGTTGTTTTAATTATGCCCCTACTGTGCCCCTAGTTATGCCCTGGCCCTTAGGCGATAGTTTTCCTTATAGTATATAGTAAAAACTTAAAAAATCTTCTCTGAATAGACAAAGGCCAGAGGTTAGATATTTGGCATGAGACTTTGCGTAGAGGATCTCTACCAAGATTGTTCAAATTATAACCCTGGGGTCAAAATTGGCTCCGCCCCGGGGATCATTGATTTTCACTATGTACATACACTAAAAAAACTTCTTGTCTGAAGGTACAAGGCTTAGATATATGGCATGAAACATCTTCTATTGGATGTCTTCTAAGTTTGAAATACTAGATACTGTATTTGGTCCCATTTGCTTCCTTTGATTTGGATTCCTTTTCGAACAAGATGACTTCTAACGAGGTGGACGTATCATATATGAAATAGTTTTCAAACTTTTTTCATTTTCAATTATCATTCGTAAAAATAGCAGTCAGCTATCTCGACAAAGGGGCAATGGAACAATATTTTTAATAATGATGATTAATTGAGCATCAATTTCTACTGAGCTGTCAGTGAAAGATTTGAAGTTTTTGTCACTGTAAGAAAATAGCTTTTACAACTATCATAATAAAGGAATTACTAAAATCGGGTTAATGGATAAATAAAAAAAATTTTTCTTTTCTCCTTGTTATCTATATTGGATTAAAATCATAAAAGATGGCATTGAGAGAGTTTTTGCTGATATACTTTAAATTATCGCGGAAAGGATGAGGACTACACATATATGTGTCATCCACTATTAGATCCAATACCCATTCATTTGTCACACACAAATTACGCCTCGCTGGAGGTATGAACAAACAAACGCTTTCTATGCGGGACAAGATTTCACAAGTAGCATCTTTAATTACAAAAAAATAAAGAATCCCTATAGAAAGCCCAACAAGACAAAATTGAAAATGTTGCAGGCTCGGTTTGATGGTTTGATTGAACATAAGAACACATCTGCGGATGTTTCAAAATTCTAAATTTTACCAGTTCATGTTAAATGTTGAATTCTGCTTAAGCCGGTGCTAGGGGGCGTGGACGGTAATTTGCACTTTCCAGTACCGTCCATTAACAGGCTTAATCAAACCGAGCCTGCAACATTTTAAATTTTTGCCGTGTTGTACTTTCTTTAGGGATTCTGTTTATCTCAATTTTATGGTCCCATCAGTGTTATTTGTGCCATGTGGCGGCCGTAAAAAGTCTCCCCATACATTTAATCAAAGATGTTATATTTTCGATCCTTGAAGATCGTTCAGCACGACATAATCGTTGTGTATTCATGTAATGTGGTATTTTTTGTTTTTTCTATTTTGTCTTTTTCAAATTGGGTGGTTCCAGTATTCCTAACTTGAATACTGTTGAATCACCCTTAGGATATGTAGCCTGCTTTTTAGATTTGTTTTTCGACGTCATATCTGATATATGCAGACTTCATAACCTCAGATCCCCTTTCAAAATTCAATTTTATTGAGTTCCGCCCATTGTTTTCTCGTTCAGGGCACATGCATTTTTTACTTGGGGACCATATGCCGCTTTTTATGGAATGGCACTAACGTGTCACATTGAAGGTTTCATGATAAGCGCCATATGAATACATCTGCAGATGTTTCAAAATTCTTAATTTTACCAGTTCATGTTAAATGTTGAATTCTGCTTAAGCCGGTGCTAGGGGGCGTGGACGGTAATTTGCACTTTCCAGTACCGTCCATGAACAGGCTTAATCAAACCGAGCCTGCAACATTTTCAATTTTGCCGTGTTGTGCTTTCTTTAGGGATTCTGTTTATCTCTATTTTATGGTCACATCAGTGTTATTTGTGCCTTGTGGCGGCCATTAAAAGTTGCCCCATACAAGTTATCAAAGATGTTATATTTTCAATCCTTGAAGATCGTTCAGCACGACATAATCGTTGTGTATTCATGTAATGTGGTATTTTTTGCTTCTTCTATTTGGCCTTTCTCAAATTGCCTGGTTCCAGTATTCCTAACTTGAATACTGTTGAATCATTCTTAGGATATGTGGCCTGCTTTTTATATTTGTCTGTCGACGTCATATCTGTGATATGCAGGCTTCATAACCTCAGATCTCCTTTCAAAATTCAATTTTATTTAGTTCCGCCCATTGTTTTCTCGTTTAGGGCACATGCATTTTTTTTACTTGGGGACCATATGCCGCTTTTCATGGAATGGCACTAACGTGTCATATCGAACGTTTCATGATAACCGCCATATGAACACCTCTGCGGATGTTTTAAAATTCTAAATTTTATCAGTTCATGTTAAATGTTGAATTTTGCTTAAGCCGGTGCTACGGGGCGTGGACGGTAATTTGCACTTTCCAGTACCGTCCATGAACAGGCTTAATCAAACCGAGCCTGCAACATTTTTCAATTTTGCCGTGTTGTACTTTCTTTAGGGGTTATGTTTATCTCTATTTGATTAAGCCTATTCATGGACGGTAATGGAAAGTGCAAGTTACCGTCCACTCAACATTTAACATGCACTGATACAATTTTCAAGCATACGCAGATGTGTTCATATGGCTGGTAACATGAAGACATAATTGAATTATTTATATTTACGACATTGGCAACTTTTAGTCAAACTCGGACAAAGTTCAGATATTGAAACAAATTTTGTAAATATCATTTCCATAGTTCGTGCAATAAAGTATCTGTTATACGAGCTTATAAAGGTAAACAAATGATTGTACTTTGTGAATAAATAGCTGTATTATGTGGTCATCATTGTGATTGTGTGAACAAACCATTCAATATGTAGTTTTGGGTTTCTTTTCCAAATAAATTAGTATTCTCATTTCCCTTATCATTTGACTTTTTTTCTTGCGTCTTATCATCTTTTAATTTGCTAGGACCATGTTTCGCTTGTAGAATATCACTTCGCAGAGCCTACATACTTAATTACTAACGAAAAAGCAACTTTGGATAGAGCTTGTTGCTGAATACGCAGCAGAGATACCTTTTAGAAGCTCATCACATGACTCGGACACGATCAAAACAAGGACATATAACCTATCTACCTAACGTCGACGATGAGTGCTTGCCTTTGACAACAGAATAAAGATGATACTGCTTGGTTCTTGATTGAGCAGTTTCGTATTGGTGTTGATTAATCACCAATTTGCTCCATGATACAAATGTACAACCAATCAATGAACATTGAGTTCCAAATTTAGAAAAGAGCAAGACAGTTTGTTGGAAAATTTGTGCGGTAAATGAATTGCGCTACAATTAGTGATATAATAGTTGTGTAACTTGACCTTGAAGTTTTTCTATATATTTGAAACATGTGTGAAACCGTTACTCAAAATGAACGATTATTTCTCCAGAAAAAAGAATTGCGGTACAATATGTGAAAGAATAGTTGTGTAACTTGACCTTGAAGTTTACCTAAATATTTGAAACATGTATGAAACAGCCACTCAAAACAAACGATTTTCTCTAGATATCAATCACTTTCTGTTCATCGCAGTTCTGTTCATGCCAAGCCAACTGGCTTTCTGTATGTTCAAATAAAACAATGTAGAAAAGTACAAAATGCAACCAAGCAATATTATTACGATAACCATCGCGATTTGACATTTCCCCGCAATAATTTATACCAGGAATTTTCTATTAATACAAGAAGAAAACATATGTAACAATGAATAGGTTTTACTAGTAATACATTTACAACAATTCTTGTAAACCGTATTCTAAAGGGGAAAAAACGAACATCTAGGATCTAAAACAACAACTGAAAAAATAAGTTCTTTAAGCATCTGTAGGCATATACAGAATTGCAACTGTTCACAAAATGTTCTACAAGTATATGTACCAAGTCTACAAAGACGTAAGAACAAGGAATGAAAATGCGTTTTTGTTTTTGTTTTCAAATTGCAAATTTATAAATATTTGTTTCATTTTTTACCAATAAGTGATCATCACAAAAGATGATGAATTTTTCGGAAACATTTCTTGGTATTTTTTAAAATATCTTTTTTATTTTGCTTTTTATTTATTAATTCATTTATCTATCTATTTATCTTTTTATCCAAATATGATACTTACTTTGATATAGGTTATTTAGCATAATTTATCTCTTTGAACTTGTACCAAAGTGTATCTGCCTACTGTAATCAAAGCAAGTTTTTTATGGCAAAAAAAAATCTGGAGTCTTCAATCTTTGTTGTTTTTTTGTGAACACGAGGCCATTTTCCTATCTTTATATATACGCATGATAGTGAAATTGTAATAATTTTGAATATACACTCATACACAACAGTGTTACACATTTACAATATAACAACAATATTGTTCACATTGAAGGAATATATAACTACACCCCTTTGATATCACAATGTATATTTGCACAACAATAATACCTAATAAAAAGCCAAAAATAACGTCAGAATTGACTAAAAAGGTATGCAGTTTAATATGAATCTAGTTTGAAAGAAGGTAGCATTCGAAAGAAAATCATATCATTTTCAACACATGGATATTCATCGGCAAACTGTAAGTAAACCTCATACCATGTATGTATCATTTCATTCGATGCACAAGCTATATAACCACAAGAACGTTACCTATTCTTGACAAAAAAAAGTGTAAATGTAATCAGGTAGTAAAATTTGATCTACGTTCTGTACTTCAGCAGCAAGCCTCCAGATTCATGTTAATTGTCATGAAAATTTTGGAAATTTATCTAAAAGTAAAATATTGTGAGGTGAACAAATAATGTTAGATTCTATTCACATATTGCAATCGGCACTTTTATTCCACGAAAATTAACAAATAGTGGTCAAGATGAGCAAAGACAGTCATTACTGCGATAGTAATGCAAAAGAAATATGGTGATAAAATGCTGCAAAATCACCGGACATAATATGTAAAATATAACTTGGATCTTGAATATTTTTGTCTTTCTTAAAAGCTCAATATTTATTTTCTTGAATTATTTTGGCTCATCTGGAGGCGCGCAGCTTAAATGATACATATGTTTGAAACAAAATAATAATAAACGTTTTAATAACACTTCATTTTCAAATGGTAAACATAATGAGAAATAAGCTTCTTAAAAGTATAAGCATCATTCTGTTCTCGAATTAGCGACATTCTTCAACAGCCTCTCAATAAATTTACCAACATCATAGATATCGTCGTGGGCATGTCCAATTTTCTTCGCTCTTTTTGTTGACATAGATGGTATTCCCATTATCGTAGCTTTACTTGATATCTGAAAAAAGCACAAATTTAATTCACATTATGCCTAAGTATTAACTCATTTATTATACACTCATTAAATTTGTTTGTTTGTTCAATTGGGTTTTACGTCACACTGACACAGTATAGGTAATATGTCGACATTACATCTTTACTGATGGAGGAAGACCTCAAGTGCCCGTCCGTGCATTATTTTAGGCACGAACGGGTACCTGACTAGAACCACCGACGTTCGGTAAGCTAGCGGGATAGCTTCTTCACATGAAAGAATTCAGAGTTCCTGTCAGGATTCGAATCCAAAGTGGTGAGGGGCAAGTGGTTTGAAGTCAACGACCTTAACCACTCGGCCACGGACGACCAATATATACTTATAAAAATGAAATGTTGAGAAATATTGATGAAATAAATGCGTATTTTAATTTTCCGTATTTTCACCGTAAACAACCACTTTTCCATGCAGTGAAACATATTTTCCGTATTTTCACTGGTATCTTGCTGGACTACGTTTGTCTAAATTAAGTCATACACAAACTTAGAGTGGAAGTTTTTCGAATCTTTAGCACGAAAAGATAATAATTATAGAATAAACAGAAAATCAATTGGTTTGTTTTTCTTTAAATATGGGATTTATTTTCTTCGATCGGTATGAAAACAGATATTTCATGAGTGGCTGATCGTTCTCTATACAGTCAAACGTGTATTAAGCGACCGGGCAAGGGAAACACCAAAAACGGTCGCTTAATGAAACGGTCTCTTAAGACAGTCAGCATGATATATAAGTCAAAATTTATAAATGACATCTTTTTTATTCGTTGGGATTGTTTTTCAACTTCATTTTTATATAAATGTTGAATAATAAGTACGCTCCGATAATCTAAACGGATGCAAATGTAAAAATAACGTTCTGATATTTATTGACAAAACAGTTTTGATCCATTACGTACATGTTTGACATTTTTTCCAGAATTTTTTAACTTCTCCTTTGTTTTTCCTTGTCTCCAACACGAAAACCCTATTAGTGAGGATGTTTTCGTTTGTGCATTTTTTCATTTGAAATAAACAAACTACATCTATTTGTTACGATTAATTTAATGGCTGATCAAGTTCAAGGTCAATTCAATCCAGTCTAAATGTCAACAAGCGAAGCGTATACACCATCTCAGTATGGGCGGAGCGTTGCATTGTTTATCCGATATTATTGGATAATACAAGTCACGCGTATACTTAACTTCATTTGCATACGCTAAAACGGTATGGAAAATAGAGTTTTTCACACGTTTATTGTTGTGTTTTGATTGCTGACACTTGTGACATAACGAGGTGGCGTTCTCTAAAAACACAATTACTTGACAGATAAAAATGGTCGTTTAATGAAAAGATTGATGTCAATTAGGTGACTAATTAGCGGTCGCTGGTCGCGTTGAGCAAAAGTCGCTTAATACATTAAAGATATAGAGAGAAAATGATCGGGGGGAATTTAAAGTGGTCGTTTAAGACAAAAGTCGCTTAATACACGTGGTCGCATGGGCAAGTTAGACTGTATATTTCATTTGATAACTTACCTAATGAATTGCTATAGGATCATACAATTAACGGAATTTCGTTATAATTATTCTTACAAATATAAGTATGTTCCAACCATGGTTATGATAGTTATTGTTAAAAATATTTCAAATGACGCCTTTCCAAGAGATTAACAGGATAAACAATGGAATTACGTTATAGTTATTCTTACAAATATTAGTATGTTCCATGATGCTAGTATTTATAAAAGACGCATTTCCAAGAGTTGGATCTGTCTTTAATGATATTACGCTAAATCATGTTTGATTGCATGTTTAAGCATTTGGAAATGATTGTCATCTAAACAGATACATGTAATAAGTGCTGCATTAATTACATTTTATACCTGACCCTAATTTTCCCCCGATTAATGGACCGAAAGTGTACAGAAGGGAGAAAATGATAATGATTCTCCCGCCCTTTTTATGCTATATAATGACAATTTTTTATCGAGGGCAAGAGTTGTTTAATTTAGGCCATTGCAACAATATGTTCTTGGATTACACTATATTATATTTAGATAAAAAGACGTTGTGAAAATTAAATAATAAAAGTAACAAATGGGTTTAGTTTTACTTCTAAACATTTGTAGCTGTGACAAATAAAATTGTGAAAAAGAGAATTATCTGCTCCAATAACTATATAGGGGCTTTACGCTTGTCTTTAGACTATCTATCATAACAGTTATTATCATTTATCCTGTCACTTGTATCAATTTCGGCCCGATAACAAGGTGCCGTATATTTTTACTGATCTACGACACTTGATCACGTGGTATGCATGTTTGCCGGACTACTTTTCAAGAAAAAAATTAAAAATTGTCAAATCTTCTATGTGTAGAATAACGAATTTTGGAAACCTTGATAAAGGTTTGTTTGTTTATTTAATTCACTCTATAATTTTTCAAGTGAAATAAAAATATGTAAAGTGAAATAAATGTTAAAACTTAACTCTTATGCGACATTAAAATAGCGTACTTGATTTGATTGTTTTGCATGTGCTGTTTGGTGCTACATTGTGACGTCACGTAAACAATACTTAAAACGTCTGTACTGCGTTAACGACTGAATAAAAGATATTGGTGTTCGAATTCATTTTCTTAGTTAGACAATTTTCTTTCATTCTAGATAGTTTTCACAACAAAATTCGACAAAAAAATGTTTTTATTTATCACATTTTTCAATCAAAATGGCGCCCTCAATATGAAAATACACATTGAGATAATAAGAACGGCGAGTTTATTGTTGTAGAATAATGCACGCTTCGCGCCTTCTTTGTTTATATAGAAACATTTCCGATAGTGTGATTAAAGGTAGTTTGCCTAATAAATTCTTTTAAAAAACGGAAAAAGGATAAATAGAATAATAGGTTGGTGCCGTGGATGGAGAAAAGTTATCTGGCTCTGCTTCGGAATTTATTGGGTTCGCCTTCGGCTCACCAATAAATTCCTCCGCCTCGCCAGATAAACTTTCTCCATCCACGACACCAACCTATTTTCTCTATTTATGACAAAGTCGGACGCTTTCTTTTAGACTTTGAATACAATCTCTGATGTTCCTTTGTGAAGATGACACAATATTTTCCCGTAACTTATTAGAACAATCATTCGTCTGAAATAAGTGTTTTAATGTAATTTTTGTTGATATAACGACATGTTTCGATTCTTTTTATAGAAATGGATTAACATTAAATCTTGAAAAAAGTGATCACTCTTGAGTATTAATCACAACAAAATTACAAGAAAATTGCAGAACATTCATTGAGTATGTACATGAGGGGTACTAGTAGTGAATAAGTGCAACATCTCTCATGTCCCGTAGCACCGGCTTGAGAGGTACTCAAAATTCAATTCAATTCTCTACTCTTAATTGTGTTGTTTACGATAAGAGTTTAAAAAAAGGTATTTTAGATGCCGTTAAGCAATAATGTGCGCATTTTTACGCCATACAACAAACCAACCTTTATTATTAAAAAATCTCAATAGGAAATTTAAATATATTAATAGTTAGATTTTTAAAAATAGATATTTTTTTGCAAATTTCGAAAGAACGGTCTACCTGTAAGAAACTTAAACAAGCATATATGGTAGTATTTATATCCCCTGGTCTCTGCAGTTATTATTCAAACGTTGAAGATGAATACCATTAATAAGTATATGAAGATTTTGTTTTCAGTTTTTAATTAAATGTCCATATTGTGCTGCCTTTGTTCAAGAAATTAATCTGATTTGTAGAACAATAATAGCGAATCTTGATCTACGAGAGTTTCTTCATGCATGCTATTTTGTTTAAAATCATAAAATATATCAAACTCGAAACTGTATATTTAGTTATCTAGAATCATGCTTTAAAAGAGTATAATAAAACATAATTTTAATAAAAGAAAACAAGAAAGGCAACTTATGTCGAAGAGCATTCAAATCAACATCGATTTTAATTACAAAAATCTGGAAACAAAGTAATCCCTCAGAAGCATTAATCACAACAAAATTACAAGATAATTGCAGACTCGGTTTGATTGATTCTGTACATGAGGGATAATGAATATGTGCAGCATCCCTCACGTTTCCAAGCACCGGCTTGAGCGGTACTCAGTTCTCAACACTAAATAGTGCTGGCATCAATAATCCCGAAGGACAAAAATATATAACAATACTGAAGTGAATTACGGGGAAACTTTTTACATTTATCACAACAAAATTACAAGAGAATTGCACACTCGGTTTGATTGAATCTGTACATGAGGGATAATGAATACGTGCAACATTCCTCACGCCCCATATCACCGGCTTTAGCGGTACAGCCACACAGAAATTTAATTCTTCATATACAGATTCCCTAACATTATAAGGTAAATCATGCAAAACAAAACATGACAAGCAATGAACCAATTCCACTTCTACCGCATTAAATACATGTACTTAATATATTTCAACCAAAGCAGCAAATGGTTGTTGTTGTTGTTTTTTCTTTGATATTTTTTGTATGAATGTACAATTTAAAAATAATGCCACTTTTTTTACCTTTGAATCGGAGTTGAGTTGCACAACAATGTTTTCTGCAGTGATTTGCCCGTCGAAAACAAGTCCGTTCTTATGAACTATATCTGTGTAACTGATAACATTATGGATAATGTATGCGATTTCAAAGGCTGAGAAAGATTTCTTTTGCAAAACCTCCTCCAGGATGTAGGCTCTACTAGAACGGAGAATCTTCTGTATAAAGTAAGGTAGAACGTCCATAATTACTTTTCCACAATCTGAAGATTTAAATATAGCAGAAGGGATTAATAATACGCATATAAAATGAGATATATCGACATTACGTATAATATATTGATAATTAATTCAGTATCAATGGTTAATAAAATTGTCAGAGAAAATTTTAATACTGCAAATCATTCTTATCTGCAGAACACTAATTTTTGTGGTTTTCGAGGAGACGTCAATCCAGGAATTTAAGATTAAACGACGTTTTATTTCGTCAGCTGTAACATTTTTTTGTGTCACATCATTTACATCAAACCATTAAGAAAAATAAACAGTCCGCAAATTTAAGTAACCTCAAAAATGTTCTTTAAGAAAAAACGACGATATTACGTGAATTCACAGCAACATTGTTTTTGTTTTAATCGGATTTATTCCAACTGGTTTAGCCAAGTATGGGTATTTCAAACATTTCTTAAACGGATATGTAAGAAAATAGTTTACACTGCATAATATTCGAAATGTTACTCAAAATAATTATAAAGCAATGTGTACCTTCCGCATCATTGGAAACAATCGTTGAGTAGGCAATGTTCTATTGAATAGAATAGAAAAAATACAATTTTAGTGAAAGAAAATTTATATTTGTAATTACTTACTTTTACGATCAATATTTCATTAAAAAAGCAACAATAAAGATGAACGTATTGCTCATTTGTTTGAAGACTCCTTTTGCTCCAAAAATACTTTATTTTTGGAATACTGTTATATTTTTCATTTTTCATTGACACTCATTGACTAATAACCTGAATCATGCTTTGCTTCCATTGCTTCTTACAATTAGAAACAGTAATGGCGATTGAATAAAATTAAAGATACTATTATAATAACATCATTTCCGCTTTCAAACCATTATTAGAATGTTGATAATAAGGTAAAAAGTACTATAGTTGTTTCTGAGATATAACGTGTATTTTAGGAAGCATATATCAATACTTGATACATTAAAAGATCCCATTGAACGCACAGTGCAAACTATAAGTAGCGTGATTTATAATCACTCAACTTTATTACATATCCAATTATATGTTCGAAAGAGCTTTCTGAACATATTCTGATTCATGAAAAAGAATTATCGAAACAGTTTGACTTTTTTTTAATTACACAATTACTGTATATCACTGTTATGACATTGTTTTATGAATGTACGTGATGCATATTTATAAACAATTAAAAAACGATTAGTTTAAAAAATATCAAAAAAAAATTATAGTCCCTTACTAAACTAGAACTGTGTCCAAAGGACACGGATGTCCCCACTGACAACATTTATATGGTATATAGTGAAAAAATCAACAAAGGGCCATAATTCTGTTAAATTTGGTCGCAGCATAAATTCCTTCCTTTTCTGCCATCTAAACATTAAGGTTGTTCATTCCTGGAAGTTTAAGCAAAATCTGCCATCCGGTTTAAGAGGAGCTGCGTTCACAAAATTTCTATATAGTACGAGGGTTGTTCGGGAAATTCTGAGAATTTTGTCATATCTCCTATATTTTTTGTTTCTAAGACGTAATATTTTGCACATACTAAGATTAGCATATCACGGAACTATTCCTAAAATTGAATAGAATCAGACAACAATAGCCGGAAATAGCAGTAACCATAGCAACACTATAACGCCGCACCGGAGCAGTCCGACTCTAAAGAAAGGTATAACGGTCTAAACTAATAATATTTCGTAATTTTGATAACGTAAAAAATGTGCGAAAACGCTGGTCAGCAGCGGAACGTCATGACGCCATATCCTGAAAATATCATACCGTTATTTAAATTCTCAACGGATCAACATTGTTTTAAAGTTGTTGCCCAGAGCCACTGAGTAAACAACATGACGTCGATAGGTGACGTTGAATTGCGAAGCATCGTGAAATTTTGTGTTGCGCTGGAAAAGTCTTCCACAGAAACAATGAAAATGATCAATTCTACAGGAAAATACAAGAAATGCAGTCCGACTATAGTGTATAGATGGCATGCTCGTTTTAAAGAAGGAAGAAACTCGATCGAAGACGATCGTAGATGCGGTCGGCAGTCTGTTGTTGCATGTTCAATTAAGGACTCGGTAAAAGACATGATAAATTGCGACAGAAGAACGACAGTTAGAGCTATTGCAGATGAACTTTGCGTATCAGTTTCTACTGTACACGGAATACTTACAAAAGAGCTCGTGGATCAGCCGACACAGGAAATGCATCGAAATTGCAGGTGACTACGTTGAAAAGGTGCGACGATCGATGGACTTTAAGGTCGCATAACGTTGCAAATGACGTCGGCGTGCTCCGGGTGTTTGTTATATGGTTATTTACAATTTTTATTATGTTTTAGTTTCTGTGTGTATGATGATGATATTTTCAGATACTGTACAGTATATATTGAAATAAATGCGTATATATTTATATTTACGCTAACCCGACTACAACGTGTGCTATAAAACAATTCTCAGAACTTCCCGAACAACCCTCGTATATAGTGAAAAAATCAACAAAGGGCCATAATTTTGTTAAATTTGGTCGCAGCAAAAATTCCTTTCTTCACTACCATCTACACATTAAGGTTGTTCATCCCTGGAAGTTTAAGCAAAATCTGCCATCCGTTTTAAGAGGAGTTGTGTTCACAAAATTTCTATATGGTATATAGTGAAAAAATCAACAAAGGGCCATAATTCTGTTAAATTTGGTCGCAGCAAAATTCCTTCCTTTTCTGCCATCTACACATAAAGGTTGTTCATTCCTGGAAGTTTAAGCAAAATCTGCCATCCGGTTTAAGAGGAGTTGCGTTCACAAAATTTCTATATAGTATATAGTGAAAAAATCAACAAAGGGCCATAATTTTGTTAAATTTGGTCGCAGCATAAATTCCTTTCTTCACTACCATTTACACATTAAGGTTGTTCATCCCTTGAAGTTTAAGCAAATCTGCCATCTGATTTAAGAGGAGTTGTGTTCACAAAATTTCTATATGGTATATAGTGAACAAATCAACAAAGGGCCATAATTCTGTTAAATTTGGTCGCAGCAAAAATTCCTTCCTTTACTACCATTTACACATTAAGGTTGTTCATCCCTGGAAGTTTAACAAAATCTGCCATCCGGTTTAAGAGGAGTTGCGTTCACAAAATTTCTACATAGTATATAGTGAAACAATCAACAAAGGGCTATAATTCTGTTAAATTTGGTCGCAGCGAAAATTCCTTCCTTAATTACTATCTACACATTGAGGTTGTTCATCCCTGAAAGTTTAAGCAAAATCTGCCATCCGGTTTAAGAGGAGTTGCGTTCACAAGATTTCGGGACGTGCGGACAGACGAACGGACAGACGTACATACGGACGGACGGACAAGTGCAACGCTATATGCTCCCACTCTGTGGGGGCATAAAGAGAAAAGAGAAAACAAGTGCAACATGTGTACGTGATTTCCTCTTTACCTTTCTGGAGATAATAGCAGAGAATGTGTACATGAATGGATTCAACGCCGAGTTAATAGGCAGAATAAGAACCGCTGTCCAAGCATACATCTCTCCGGGAATAACGTGCCCTGATAAAGCCAGAAAACCTGCAGATAAATAATTATTCAAGCATAACATGATGGAGGCGGTAAATCATGACAATAAGATCAGTTGTCCTTATTTGTATTTGTCATTTTACATACATATCAGATTACCTCAACATCAAGTCATTTGTTTCTTTAGTAAAATGCTCTTTAGCGTTGTGTTCATAAAACATTTGAAACATTATTATTAAGTAAGACCAGCGAAAACAACACGTAAGAATTATTTAAGATTGAATTTAAGATTCATAGACAGGGAGCAAGGTTATTTAGTTACTTGTCCAACTCACCCATAAATCCAATAGGAAACCAACAGATGAAGTCGGTTCCGACAATCAGAAGAAGATTTCTTGCCACCGTTAACTCGTTGTTGCGGGTCATGTTTAAACGTTTCTTCGACATATTATGTTTGCGAACCTCTGCGTAGATAAGCAGCTGACCCGCGGAGATAAGTGTAAAGGTGATCATATTGAATCCAATGAAAACAATAACGGAATAAAGCCATCCTGGTGGTCTGTCACGTGTAAGCGGCAATGCAAGACATACGCCAGATTTGCTGTAGAACTTATTATGAAAATGGTCGGTATGTAAGACAGGAACAAGCGCAATAAGAACAGCTAAAGACCATGCGGCTGCTGCAGATGCTGTAGATGTTAACGTTGAGAAACGGTACTGTCCAAAGGGAAATTTTATAACAAGAACTCTATCTATTGTTATGAGACACATGAAAAGTACGCTCGCTTCTGATGATATTGTTGCTATAACTCCGGCAAAATGACACCAAGCACTATTCCTCCAGTATTCGTCTACCTCAATATACCTATGTGGGAAGACATAAGTAAAATTCCATTTAAGTACGTGAAAAGAGCTAAATTGTTGCAACCGTTCACTTAAAGAAACACATCTTTAAATGTATGTTTAAAAAAGAACGTTTTATTCAAATGAACCTATCATTCAAATAATATTTGAGACGGCAAAAATAACAATAACTGTTCATGAATAAAAAATTGTCAACAAAAGTTTTTATTATTCAAATTATCTTTGCTCTGATATTCAAGTTTCTTTTACGACGAATACCATGATTTTAGATGTTAATGCTCAAAATAAAAAACTTTCATATGTTACTAAAATAGAATGATATTTCCGTATAATAAAATAAGATAAAGAAAAATACTAGAGCGTTTACTCATTTGAAAAAAAAGCTCAACTATATCTATGAACACGTTTTAATGAATGCTTATTGATAATTTGTTGATCTCTTTCGAAGATGAATATTCACGTGTGACCTAGCTCGATTATGCATGTCAATGATGGTGTGAACCTGTTGGTCAAGATTCAACAAGTTTAAGCCTTGTTCCGATGGACTTTCGAGCCAAGTTTTTTTTTTAAAAAAAGTCATTTCATGGGTTTTCTAAACTATAGTGCGGACACGGTGAAATTGGTTTTAACATACAACCTACAGACATCGAGTCGGCACAGATGATATCCGAATAGATTATGCACATTGCCTTTCTACGGTTGACATTTCAACCAAGTTTGAAGAAACTTCTTGAAGGTACACATGAATATAAAATTTAAAATGCAGACAACAACTTACCTGTCCATGAACAATTTATCTGCCGTAGCAATGATAAGCATGTAAATGCCCATTAGCAAATCAGAAACTGCCAGATTTGTGACAAATATTCCATATCCAAGTTTCAGCCTATTTCTGTCGTAGATTAGCTTATAAACTATAGACAACACATTACCAGTGAGAGCCAACAACCCTATTGTCCACATTAATCCTTGTAGCGTAGTGTTTCTCATCAGGTGTGTACATGATGAAAATTCATCTTTATATGGTAAGCAGTTTTCTTCATTCAAGTACCCAGGTCGAATACAACAAAATTTGTAAGCAGAAGTGACGAGCTTTTTGACTGCAGTCACACCGTCAAACATTCTTTTCGAAAAAATAGACACTGGATTATTTTCAATATTGATACTTTGACAAATCAATCCAGTAAACGTTAGGTCGGCAATAGCTTTTATTCCATTTGATGCTAAATCAAGATTTTCAAGATTTAATCCTGCAAATGTTCTTGCGTCTAAACGTTCAATATTGGCATTGTTTATAGAAAGTGACTTGATTTTCAGACCGTTGAAAGCTCCAGGTTCTAAAACTCTTAACATTTTGTTTCCAGACATGTAAAGCTCTTTTAAATTACGCAAATGAATGAATGTATCGCGGGATAGCCTTATGATTTTATTATAGCTAATATCCAATTTCAATAAACTGGTAAATTGTTGAAATGACGATTCAGATATTTCACTTATACCACATCTTGAAATGTTAAATGAAATTAGTAGCGCTAAATGTTTGATGTCCCGATTCGTTAGAATATTCGCTCCAAGTTTTGTTGTGTTACTTAGGTCTAAAATACGAGTGGCGGCCGGGATTCGGATTGTCTGATTATTTGTATGAACGTCAGTACATATCATGATACCAGGTTTGCAAACACATATTTCAGGGCATTTGAACTCACATAGCTCCTCGTCGTCACCATATTGGCAATGATGTTTACCATCACAAACTTGTTCTTGTGGAATACATACCATACTAAGACTGCATCGATACCTATCTTTACAATGAACAGGTTGACCTAAACAGAAATGATCTAAATTACTTTTTTATTATTCAAATATGTTTTCATCATATGTTTTGATCATAAAATGTAACTGTTCATGATAAGGAATATTAGGTGTTCCATTTGTAAACTATCAATACATATTACAGCTACTAAGAATTATGTGTTCAAAGCGTATGAAAGATTTTATAGTAACTGTTTATTTGGTTATAGTCAGCTAAAAAAATAAAATATCTTACAAACCTTTGCAAATACTTGGAAACAAGGTTGCTCCCAGGGTGCCAAGAATATTTATGTCTCTTATTGTCAATTGAGTTACGTCATTGACAATGTTCACGTTATATGCAGTGTGTCCTACGACGACAATGCGGTATTTCAAAGGTTGTCCTGAAGTATTTGACAATCCAAATAGATTGAATGTGTATTCTTCACTTTCTGTGTAGTCAGCAACATCTGTTAACCAGATAATGGATGCATGGTCTGTATCTTTCAGTCCAAGAAAAGTATCGGTTGCCTCATTATCAATTCTTTCAAACACTTGACTTGGGTGTTCACTTTTGCTTTTGATAGTCGAACTTTCAAAATAATACTTATTGTTATATTTCTGATCCCGTGATAAGCGAACTTGTAACGTTTTGACAGTTCTGTATTTGGAGTAAAGTGTTCCACCAAGTCTCGTAGCAGTTTGAAAGAGCATATTAGCGCGATTGTATGGTAACAAATCAGAACTTTCAGTGATAATCACAACTTCTCTCTTAATATTGCCTTCGCATTCTAAAAGAAAAAGAGCATTATATGGATATATCCAATGTATTTCAAAAGTCTTTTTGAAATTTATGTACTTAATATAGATTTGTGCAAAGAAAGGCAGAAAAATCACCTGCGTTGATTGGCTAATGGTGGGCTCTACCTTTTTTACGC